TGTGGTGTGAAAGAGAACTTACACTGCATAAGTATAATTGAGGAGCTAAATTACTGAGGGACACTTTCATAGTGGGAGATCACATGATGACAGCCCTGTAATTCCCCAAAAGTCTTGTTCTAACTTAAGGAATGGAAAAACAAAGTATTCTGAGCTAAACAGGAATGGAGGTGGACAAAACATCAGGGAAAATGGGATAGATGTGAAGTGGAAAAGAAGTATTGAATTTTCTCTGGCAAAGCTCAAGTGTATTCAGCTCACTATGTTCAGGAGGCAATAAGCCACCCTAGCAAACTTTTCTGTTTGCTGTGGGAATACCTTTTTGTTTTTCTTCAATTAAAAGTAGCACAGTCCCAAAATGAAAACTTCCCTTTTGTTGCATCAATTTGATTGAAACTCAGGTGATATTCAGAAATGAAAGTTTGAAGAGAGACAGAACACATCATAAATGCTTCTGATTTTTTTAAAAATAAAAAAGTCTAAGTCTATGTCTGTTCAAAGCCTGCCTTTGTCAGCAAGATGTGGCTCACAATATTTTTTGCACATTGCTGCAAAATGGTTGCCTTAAAGATAAAATGTTTTTTTTAATTAAAAAAAAAACCATGATGCCACTCAGAATGATTGAAAATGCAGAAGACACATAATACAATTTAGAGTTTATGTTGACTCAAGCATTAAAGTTCTTGATTGTCTTGAAGAAATTAATAGACTTTATATACTAGATCAAGGGCTTGAGCTGATTCTAGAAAATCAGTGGCTATGAAATGTATAGGAATTGGTTAGGGCCCTGCCTGCATGGGTCAAATAAACTGACGTTCCCTGGCTTCTCAGTGGGGAGTCTGGACAATCAGGCCCCAAACGTTGAGTATGGTGCAAACTGAATGACATGTGGCACATTTGGTGCCAAATCTGAGGTATACACCTCTTAAAATGGACTAAAATAAGTCCATGTTTGTTCCAGATCCCCCAAGAAGAACTAGGGACCTCTGTTGCCATGCTGGGCAGCTGTTTAAAACATGTCTCACTATGCCAGCCAGTACCACTGGCATATACTATTTGCTCTGAGGTCAAAATGAGGTGCTCAGCCATGTGACCAACACTCGGCACCTCATTCTGACCTCAGAGCAAGTGATGCATGGCGGCAGCAGCAGTGGCTCTGGGTGGCACAGCAGGATGCATGTATAAATAGCCACCCAGCATTGGAATGATAATGGGAGGAAGGCCAATGGGTGTAGCTGTGGGTCCAGGATACTTTGAGCTGCTCCCGGAATATTCTGGCCCATGCAGACACCGCCAAACAGTTGCAATGACTCTTTTTTAAATCTGATCAGTAGTCCTAGCAAGATTAGACCCATTGAATCAATTGCTGAAGTAGGCAAGACTTCAGTCTACCCTAGTTGCATATAAATACTCTCTAACTGTCATGATGTGGCAGGCACAGTCCTGGTTATCCCTATGTTGTACTACATTTTACCTGTTTTTAAAATGTCCCAGGTTTGGTCTCCTCCTCCCTTTGTCCTTGGTTCAATCAAGTGTTGGATGGTGAGTCAACACACACACACACACACACACACACACACACACACACACACACACACACACACACACACATATATATATATATATATATATATATATATACACACACACACACACACACACACACACACACACACACACACAACAGGGGGGAGTCCTGATTAACCCTGTGTCATCCCACTTTTTCAATTAGTGTAAATATGTCCCAGTTTCTTTTTCTTCCTCTCCCTTCCTCCCTTCCTCCCCAGCTTATTTTCATTGGTGTATTTTTCCCTTTCTATGCAGTCTTCTACAGGGTAATGTGCTCCTGAGTTGCTGAGGAACATGAGTGGAATGCTGCTATTGTGCTCACATCTTTCTGTAGGGCTTCTTTAGGTAACTGGTTAGCCATTGGGAGAACAGAATGCTAAACTCCATCAGCCTTTGGTCTGATCCAGCATGATGATTCTTCTTCTTCTGATCCAGCTAAGTCTTCTGATGTCTCTAGTGTCAAAAGATTCATGTTGGGGGCTGACTGAAGATCAGAATATGACTAGGATTTTGAAAAGACAACCAAAATTGTCTGCAATTTGGTGGGTAATTAAATTCTAATCATGTTAGTCCAAGGGGTGAATCACCACTCCTGGACTATTTAATCTATTGTTGTGATATTCCTAGTAGATGGCCACTCAGCTACTGCTTAAAATATTCTACAAATAGAGCCAACCAACGACTGCAGGATTTACTCTGCATTTGTACCTAGGAGCATTGTTATAGAGTGGATCTACACTGTAACATTAATGCAGTTTTAAACCACTTTAAATGCTGCAGTGCCATCCTATAGAATTCTGGAATCTGTAGTTTTACAAGATCTTTCACCTTCTCTGCCAAAGGGTGCTGTTACCTAAGAAAATTACAAAACCCAGGATTCTGTAGGATTGAACTATGACAGTTAAAGTGGTGTCAAGCTGCATTATTTCTACAGTGTAGATGCACCCCTAGAGAAAACTGTTCCATAAAGAGACCCTAAATATCTCTTTAAAGAACACAAAATGTAGCTCCATTGGCATGACCTCAGGTTACACTAGCTTAAAGCCACAAGATATTTCCAATAATAATAATAATAATAATAATAATAATAATTTTTATTTATAGCCTGCCCCTCTGCTAGGCAATCGGGGCGGGTTACAGCATAATTAAAACATAAAGAGTTAAAAAGAGACAATCCCAATCTCCCACCCCTTAAAATTGAATTAAACTAATATTCTATTAAAAACCATATACAAACTTTAAAACAATATAAACAACAAGGCAGCGGACACCATTTGAAATAATAAATCAAGGTGACTTGCCAGGCTTCTCATGTCCGGGAAGTTATTCTGGGAAGGCCTGCTGGAAGAGATCCGTCTTTACTGCTTTCTTAAAAGCAGCAAGAGTAGTAATGAGACAGATCTCGTCCGGCAGGCCGTTCCATAGCCTGGGAGCAGTCACGGAGAAAGTCCTCTGGGAGGTCTGTGACAGCCTGGTCTTCATAGGTTGGAGCAGGTTCCTCCCAGAGGACCGAAGGGTACGAGGGAGCTCATGTGGGAAGAGGCGCTCCCTGAGATAAGATGGACCCAAGCCATGTAGGGCTTTAAAGGTCAAAACCAACACCTTGTACTGTGCCCAGAAACTAATTGGCAGCCAGTGGAGGGATTTAAGCACCTGTGTTATATGCTCCCTCCTAGATGTACCAGTAATTAACCTGGCTGCCATATTTTGGACTAATTGCAGTTAATATCTAAAAATCAAATATTAAGAATCTAAAACCTCCAGAGTTCACTGTTTTAGAACCAGTGCAGTATCAATATACAATTGTGATGGTTGAATGTTTTGTCAGTGTAATGATAATTCTGCTCCAGATTTTAGTGGGAATTTCATAGGAATGAAAAGACTTCAGCACTTTAAAGTATAACCTAAAACTCCTCAGAGCAGATCCATCACCCCAACTGAGAGGAGATTCACTAGCTATCACTGCAATTAAACAGTAATATTGAATTTATTTATTATTGCTTTTGTGATATTTTTTTGAACACTATCCTCTCACTCAGTTTTCCTGTTATATAAATGGGGTTCTCAGCTGACTGGGAGAAGAATCACTTAGCCTGCTGTTGTTTCTTTAATGGCTCTATCATATGCAATAGCAAGCAAGTCAAGTCAGTTCTATGGAGGTAAACCTCCCTGCATGCAAAGTAGGGAAAGAGAAGAAATTCATTTGTTTCCATTTTATCCGTGCTTATCAAATTCACATCATCCACACTGTTCAAAATAAAAATAGAACACCCATGCAAACCAAAGTATGTGCTTCTCAAAATTCTGTGATACAGTTCCAAACATGGGCATGCAAGCATACTCATAATGGGAACTGTTTATATATATAAATCTGAGCCAGAATTCTCTGTTGTGGTCTACATTACATAATTTCACATAACTATGCTTGGCTACATAGTAAAGGCATTAAGAAACCTTTAAATGCACATCAGTCTCTAGAGCCAATGGTCCCAATACACATCAGTCACTTTGCTGGCTCCACTATGTATAGAAATGTCACAGTAGCAACTTGCTGACTACAGATGTTGCAAAACTGCTTCATTCTATTTTCTGCAGACTTATGAAGTCCCTTACTGAATTTGAGCTGTTTAAGTCCATGTAGAGGACTGGTCTAAAATAAGCATCCATTCTCTAGATAAAAGTATTTGGTTTTGCTCAGTACTGCTGGTTGTTGCTCCCTCTGCCTCCATTTCTTCCATTTTGGGAGGTTTGTAGCAATTTCTTGGATGTGCAGTATGATTGTATCTCAGTTACAACAAACAAACAAACAAACACACACACACACACACACACACACACACACATACCTGGGACATGGTTTGCTGAAGTGGTCCTGCAGGTTGAAAAGGATTTTTTTCCTCTGAATTTTTTTTAATTAAAAATATTTTTCTTAGAGTTATATGGTTATAGTGCTAAAGTGGTAATACACTGATGCACTATAGCACTTTGGACGTTATCACACGGGGGAAATCCTGTGAGGAAACAGGGGTTTAAACTAAAAATATACCCACAAAAATGGGTATATTTTCAGACGACGTCGCATTTAAAAGCAAGTTAATCCGAATAGAAAGTAGTCAGAAACTGCTTCTTTTTATTTTTGGGGATCTTCCAAAAATAAAAAGAAGCAGTTTCTGCCTACTTTCTCTTCGGAGTAACCTCCTTTTAAATGCGCAGGAGGTTTTCACATGGGGAAAGCCGGCTAATTAATTGCTTCCGCTTTTGCGGTAGCACTTTCACTTTAAAGCCGGCTTCTGTTCAGAGCTCCCTCTGTGATAATGTCCTTTATTGTTGTGTGCCTTCAAGTCATTTCCACTTTATGATGAGCCTGAGTCTTAGGGTTTTCTGAGGGCTGAAATTGTGTGACTTGTTCAAGGTCACCCAGTGGGTTTTCATGGCTGAGCAGGGATTTGAACCCTGGTCTCCAGAGTAATAGTCTAACACTCAAACCACTACACCACATTGGCTCCTAACTATAACACAAAAACATTTTTTTAAAGTTAAAGAGAAAGAAAGAAGAAAAGGAGGACACGTCTCTGTTCTGATAGGTATCAGAATTTTTTAAAAAAATGTGAGGGTAGGACTATAATGTTACAATTGGTGTCAGAAATTTTCAGAGAACAGACTGGGACAACAGAAATATATATTTTTCAAACAACAACACCTGAGATCTACATAACAAGACCCACAACTTCCTGACACATTTGCTCAGTCTGGATCATTCCAAATACAAACTTGCTTGAATCCTATGGTTACTCCTAATTAGAATAGCTCTGTTGAATTAATAGGGTGGATTACTTTATGTTGTTTCATCATTCAACAGTTGATTGAGTGGGTCTAATACAGCTCTTATAGGATTCAGGGCATAATGTTCATGAAAAATGAATGGTAAAAAAAGCATATACACCTATGAAATGTCCATACAAGCTGCGTCTATTAGATCATGCTTCTCAGATTATTTTATGTGGGGAACCAACAAAGGACTGGCACAAAATTTGTTCCCATTGGCTATAATTGTTTCTTTTTTTCCTGGGAACTCTTTAGCTACCAGCAGCCAATGCCTCATAGACTGGCACTGGTCCAGGAAACACCATTTTTAGTAGCACTGTATTAGATAAAATTCATACCAGAGTGCTTACAAATTCTTATTGGGACATTGGAGGGGGATGTGGACAAATTTATAAGCGAATATGGTTAAGGAATGAAATAAACATACAGTTGAGAAAATGATGAAACAACCACATCAAAATGAAGAGGATTCTACCATCCCTAGAACAAATTTCTGCAGATCAACTCATGAAAGGACTGGTTTTAAAAAGAGCAAACGTATGCAAAGGGAAAAAATGTATGTTTTGTTAACTATATTCATCTTGGTGCTTCATTTGTTGTTGCTGTTGTTGTGTGTCTCCAAGTAATAGTTGACTTATTGCGACCCTAAGGCAAACCTATCATAGGGTTTTCTTGACAGGTTTGCCATTGCCATCCTCTCAGGCCAAGAGTCACCCAGTGGTTTTTCATGCTTGAGCAGGGAATCAAACCCTGCTCTCCAGAGTCACTACACCACACTGTCTCATACTCTTTCCATATTTCTGTCTGGCTCACTCCTGTGTCTCCCTAAAGGCTTGACAACATGGTTCCTAAATATCTTGCTACAATATTATTTTGGTAAGCTCTTTTTTATTATTTGACTGTTCTTGCCTTTGTCTGTACTTTTATTCTTCACTTAAGTCTTCTAATAAAGAGTTACATTTTCCTCTTGAGGTCATCTGAACTACAAGGTGAGCAAAGGATATGAAAAGATGTTTCAGCTCAGGTATCACTTGCCATGCTGAAGCATGCAGACAAAAGTGGGGAGATGTGGGATGGAGAAATAATCATATTTTTGAACCTCAACAGAAGCTTGTGGAAAATTGTTAAATGACTGATAACCTATCCATGTTAATAATTATGTTGAACACATTCTTTATCACAATTTAAAGCAACTGAAACCACAGTCCACCATGGCACCTCAGTTCTTTGTGTGGAAGATGAGGCAAGGACCAATGTGGATATTAAACACTGGGTGCAACATTACTTTACTATACCCTATGCATTTTAAGTCCAGTTTAGTTTTAGGTGAAATTTGATGACTTCTTTACTAAGGATGTAAAGAATTTTCACAAAATTATTCATGCTGAATGACAGCATTGGTTAATAAACCCCTACCTCAGATGAAATCATGGGCTGTTGTTTTTTAACAGCACAAGAAAAAGGCTAGGAGGTCTTTCACAATGTGTGTAAAATGCTTCTGTAATATTCACATCCTTGAGGGACAAATGGGGTCATAGCACACACGACATCCCATCAAGGAAAAGAAGACCAGACCAGGCATGAGACTGTTCACATCTCAGGATTTCAATTGAGAGAATTCACTTCTACAAAAATGCATGTGTTTTCCTGTGTGGGGAACATGTTTTATCAGAAAACTGCCTCTTGCATTTTCCTGGAATTTTCACAAAGAGCTACTAATCATGATCAATATTGGCATTCTATGCTTCTTCTATTGAGCTGCTACATATGGATGCAAGGTATAACATTTTATCCTCCCAAGAATCCTATGGTGTAAAGTATCTAGATTCAAGCATTGATCAGAACAGAGACAAGAAATCAGAAGAAAGCTAAGAATGGGAAGGGAAACCATGAAAGAGCTAGAAAAGATTTGAAAGCCATTGTATTCCCCATCACCATGTATGGATATGAGAGCTGGACAATGGAGAAAGCAGATGAGAAGAAATTAAATTCATTTGAGATGTGGTGCTAGAGAAGAGTGCTAAGGATACCACGGACAGCCAAAAAGATAAGCAGGTCCTTGAGCAGGTTAATAATAATAATAATAATAATAATAATAATAATAAATAAATAAATAAATAAATTATTTATACCCCACCCCTCTGGGAGCAATCGAGGTGGCTAACAATGTTAAAATGCAAGTACAATCATCCCCCCATACCCACCCCCTTAAAAAGGTATTAAATCAAGAAAGATTAAAATTATACAAGTTAAATTAAATTTAAAATTACAAACAGCAACACAACATGGACATATCGCAACAATTTTTTTGTCAAGTGGGTTAATAGAAAGGCGGCTATGTCATATTGGGGAATACAAACAAGTTCCTGGAGGATTCTCTGAGGTTGGGTATCTATTGTGGAAAGGCCTGCTGGAAGAGATCTGTCTTTGCAGCATTTTTAAAGCTATCTAAAGATATAAGTAGATGGATCTCACCCAGCAGGCAGTTCCATAACTTGGGGGTGATCACAGAAAATGCCCTCTGGGAGTTAGCCGAAAGCCTAGATTTTTGTGGCTGAAGCAGGCTCCTCCCAGAGGCTCAGAGTGCACCGGGGGGGGGGGATTGTAGGGGAGAAGGCTGTCCTAAAGATAGTTTGGTCCCAAGCCATTTAGGGCTTTAAAGGTGATAACCAACACCTTATACTGGGCCTGGAAACTAATAGGCAGCCAGTGGAGGGACCTTAATACCGGAGTAATATGGTCCCTCCTAGATGTTCCAGAGACTATTCTGGCTGCCATGTTTTGAATTAGCTGCAGTTTCTGAACCAAGCATGAGGGTAGCCCCATGTAGAGTGCATTGCAGAAATCTAGATGTGAGGTTGCCAGTGCGTACACAACAGTCTCGAGATCCCTTACCTCCAGAAAAGGGTGCAGCTGGCGTATCAGCCGAAGC